ACACCACCCCAAATACCTACTTATATCAGTTAGCTACTGCTCCATAATACACCACCCCAGATACCTCAGTGCATTTAAAAAATGCTTTAAAAAAAGGAAAGCATTATTTCTTAGAAATCTTTGGGTCTGCTCAGAAGTTGTGCCTGTATAGGCAGAACTCTGTGGATCTGAACTAAACACAGGACCGTCTTACAATTATCTGTTGTCCTGTTACCATCAGCCATGTGCCTAGAATATGTCAACTGACTTTGCCTTTTGCTTGAACTCATTATCACCAGGGGGACAAATCTACCTCTGTGATAGGAGCCTACACCCCTGCTCAGGAGGCCATACCAGGACAGAAGCTGACTGGATGTGGCAGTACTTTCTTATGAAGGAACAGTACTTTGAGATGATACGTGTATTGACCAAGCTAGATAGCCTATAAGAAATGAAGTTTTTTTTGTGTATGAGATTTTGTTTGTTTGGTTTGATTTTATGGGACACGATTTCATATTGCCTGGGTAGCATCAGACTCAATATGGATAACCTTGAATTCCTGGTTCTATTGCCTCCACCTCCTGACTTTTTGTGAGATTTTTGAAACAAAAAGAAAAACTAGATCTTGGCCAGTAAAAAAGGACTCAGCTGTTGAGTGAGCCGAGAAAGAAGGGGGGCAGGGGACTCAAAGCAAAGGGCTGGAAGAAGTTTGCCAGACCCTTAGAGGGGGTTACACTGGAAGGGCAAAAGGCAGACTGTCTGGGACCAGCTGGGGACAGCCATAAAATGTAGCCTATCCCAGCTGGCAGGGAGGCAGAAATTATCTAGCCTTCTCATCTAATAATGAGGGACACCGAGGTCTCAGGTCAGCGACCTGCTCATGGCCACGAGCTGAGCCTAAGTTCAAGTCCTCGTCTTTTGCTTCAATCAGATGGTCTTCCATTCTTACACTGGGGGTGTCTTTCCATGCACTGAGAATTGGGGGACCTGGGAATTCACGCTGGCCTGTTCACCCATGTCTCCCTTGTCCTTTTCCTCGCAAAGTCTGGATTCCTCATTCCTCTGGGAGGCCATTACCGTGGCGCTGACTCTGTCCCCAGCAAAAAATGGATAGTCAGTGGAAAGTTCTGTCTAGGAGTGCTTGCCAGGCCGGCCAGGGACCTTGTTCCCTCTCACTGTCTTTGTCCTGACAGAAGTCAGACCTAACCCATGGGGGAGGGCCTTTCAAGGAGGAAGGCTGGGTGGCTGGGAGAACACCAAGGGGGTCCAATCTGTTTCTGCTACTATGGAGTAGTGGATGTGGCTGAGTTTCGACTTTCCCTACCCTTCGCAAGCTCTGACCAAGAGGAGAGCTAGCAACAAGCCAACTCCAAACTCCAACTGCTATGTTAGAGAACATAGATATTTTCCAGGAAATTCATTCTTCCCCTTTGAATATAAAATCACCCTATGTGTGGGTGGTTTGGAGTGAGACCCAAGGCAAGACTTCTAACTAGAGCAAGAGCTTCTTTACAGGGCTCAGGAAAGGAGAACCAAAGGTCTCCGTGTTTTGTGGCAGGTGCAGCATGCAGCGTGGCTGCTGTGTCCTGTATGGCAACACCAGGGCAGGGCCTCAGTCTCCGCCCAAGTTTGTGATGGAGAATGGGTAATATTAAAGCTGTCTCGAGAGGCTGTTCCTGCTGGTTAGAACACTGGTTGATGGCCCCAGCCAGGAGTCTGTCTGGGCTCTCTAGGCTCCAGAAGAACCCATGACTTCCCTCAAAGACCCAATAGAGCTTTGAATTTTTGGCTTTCAAAATAATTATCCCAGTGGCCCTGGTGTCTCAGTGCTCTGCCGCCTCAGCTGTAAGGATACCTCGGGGTGAGATCTGAGAATAGGTAGAACCAGAGACCCTGGGGACTCGATCTTTGTCTGTACCCCCCCCCCCAATGGGGACAGATTATGATGATGACGGGAGCCCTTACTTGTGTCCTTCCGTGGGGAGATATAGATAAGCCTGGCTCCAGCGCATCAGGCAGTCCAACTCTGATCACAGCCTCCTGGGGGCGCGGCTAGGGGAAAGTGGGGCCATCTGGTCAGTATTTGCTCCTAATTTCTATGCCTGGGTTTTGTCTTTCTGACAAGAGGAAACTCTGTGAGGAAAAGTAGAAAAGAGCTACCCAGTAAACATCCATTGGCCAGCGTCAGGCACGGGACAGTGTGGAGCAGGGAAAGAATGGCCCGGTGGAATGGGGGCCTCAGGGGTCATGCCCACAGCCTGGCACTAACGAGTTGCTTAGTAAGCAGAGGTGTAGCCCAGACTCTTCGGGCTGCTTGAACTGGTAGCTTCAGAGAACCTGGGCCTGGAAGGAGGGACAAACTAGGGAGGGCTGTAAGGAGAGGAGAGAAGAATGGAGTAGCTCAGGTCACATGAAGGGATATACAGAGGCACAGCCTGGAAGAGCACAGAGGCAAAGAAGGGGGCCCAGGAGGAGGCCCCAACAGGTGAGAGAGGCCCGAAGGGAACAAGTACATCTGCCCTAGTTTCCCAAAGGTCCCTGCCCAAGGATGCAGAGCAAATCTGTAGACCCCGAGAGCAGAAGAACCACACTGTAGGCTGCTATCATTTTTTCATCAGGAAGTAGCAGACAGAATGAGGTGGATGTACCACTGTGGCATCAGGAGGCATAGGCGTATATTCCCAGATTCAAGGCGTAGGTTCCTACCAGGTGGGCCCATGCACTTATGTGTGTATCCATTGGTATGGTTAAGGCACACATGTATACAGACACAGACACTCCAAGAAACACACTCTGATGAGCAATGTAGAACCTGCATGCAGGCTACAAGTCTAGTAGGTCCTGGCCCCTCTCCCTGGTCCTGCTACTTAACTCTGTGAGATTCGCACATTATTTAACCTTCACCCCCTCCATTGTCCTGAAAGAACAGTTCTGCCTTTAGTCTGTTGGAACCACAGGTGAAATGAGTCAGGCTGGGTAAGGAAGAGGTTCCAGAGCTGGCAACTGCTTTGCCTATCATGGGATTTAAAAGGGTCCCTCGAACCTAGCAGTGTTGTGAAGGCAGTAGGGGACTGAGTGGGACCTGAGAGTCTCAACACTGCCTCGCATAATCCTCACGGCCTCCAAACTTAGCTGGCATGTTGCTGAGAGCAAGACAAAGCATGTGGCCGTCGTGAGGGCCAGGCGGTCCTGGATAGAGTCCCGGAAATGGTGGACTTGCCCCTTCCCTAAACAGCACTTTGAAATGCCAGCAGAGGGCAGCCTTGTAGGCCAGAGGACTCTGCTTTGAATCCGCCCTGTTGACCACTCAGCCCCTGCCTAAGAAGAGGGGCCTCAGCCAGCGTGCACCCCTCAAGGCTGAAAAGGTCTATGAGTGTAGAGAATCACCAGCCCTCCCCACCTGAAGGAGGAAAAGAAAGGCCACCCATGTTGGGAGACACGCTTATTAGGTTTTTAACACGGAACAACACAGAATGTCGAGGGAGAAGGCTGGGACTGTTTTCAGGGAGAATTCAGCCACTGGGGATGTGGCTGTCACTGCTTTGAAGGAGTAGGGAACCAGGTGGCGGGTATCTGAGCAGGGCCTGTGTGCACAGACCAGCGGCTTCATCCCAGTCCCCAGCAGCCTTTATTCTCGGGCTGAGTGATTAACTGATAGTTAAGAAAGGATTCCCCCTTGTACATGCTGCTGCTGCCTCAGATAGGTTTTTTTTTTTCCCTTCCCCTTCTCTTTAATTCAGAACTATAAAAATCAAGGTTGACCACAAGGTGAGCGCTCTATCCTTAATCTAAGTCTGGGAAGGATGCCACCGCTACACCCTAGGCCTCCTTCATCCCCGATGGTCCATGAGCTCGTGACCAAGTCTACACTTGCCTTGCCTTCCTTCCAGCCCTGGGCTGAATAGGTTCTTTGCCCAGGGAGTCTCATAGTCCTTATTGTACTGTCCTTGACATCGCCAGGAACCGGGTTGGTGAGTGCAGTTGCCAGGTGTCACTGATGCTGCAGAACAGACCCACCAGAGCCCCATCACGGTGAGTGCCCCCAGGAGCTGCCTGGTCAGGCTCCTGCACTCCCGCACCCTCCTCCTGGCCCCGAAGCCTGGGATTGTTTGTGTCCTCCTACTGAGGCTACCAGAGCCAAAGGAAAAGATTGGAAGGGGATGAAGGAGGGAGGGCAGGGGAAGGCGAAGAACGGGGTGATGTGTGTTTCATTTTCTTTATTTTATTATTTTTTTTTGCACACACCCTTATAAGGCTACTGAAGTCATTACCGATATAATAAACCAACGAGGCAAGTGAGCGCCTCTCACCAATGTTCCCTTCTATAAACACAGCCTGGCCGGCCCCCACGTCCCCTTCCCCCTCCTCTCTACCCTCCGCCCTCAGGGATTTGCTCTCCCCTGACGTTTCTGCCTTACCCAGCCCCTTTTCCTCCTGCTACTTTCCCTTTTTCCTTCACTGGTTGCTGCAGGGGGCGGGAGCCTGCTGCCTGTGAGGGCCTCTGTGGTGGAGGAGTTGGAGCTCATGGTGATGGTGACCGTGATGGGACCCTGAGGCCTGGCTGGCCAGCGAGAGGGCAAGGTTGGCCAGAGGAGGAAGACGGAGAAGACGTGAGGGGGCTGTTGAAGAGACGGGTGGAGACCAGGCTACACACAGAAGAGGCCATCCGCCAACAGGAGGTGGGGCAGCTGGATTTCCGTGACCTCCTGGGGAAGAAGGTGAACACCAAGACCGTATCAGAAGAAGACCTGAAGGAGATCCCAGCCGAGCAGATGGATTTCCGCGCCAACCTTCAGCGGCAAGTGAAGCCAAAGACCGTGTCCGAGGAAGAAAGGAAGGTACACAGCCCCCAGCAGGTTGACTTCCGCTCTGTCCTAGCCAAGAAGGGGACCCCTAAGACCCCCGTTCCTGAGAAGGTCCCACCCCCAAAAGCTGCCACCCCTGACTTCCGCTCAGTGCTGGGTGGCAAGAAGAAATCTCCCTCAGAGAATGGCAGCAACAATGCTGAGGTCTTGAACATCAAGGCTGGGGAAAGCCCCACACCTGTAGGCAACACACAGCCGGTTGGGGCCCTGAAACCCATAGGCAATGCCAAGCCTGCTGAGACCCTAAAACCCATAGGCAATGCCAAGTCTGCTGAGACCCCGAAGCCTGTAGCCAATGCCAAACCCACCGAGACTCTGAAACCCGTAGCCAATGCACAGCCTGCAGGGTCCCTGAAACCCGTAGGCAATGCACAGCCTCCTGAGACCCCGAAGCCCGTGGCCAATACCAAGCCTGCTGAGACCCTGAAAGCAGCTGGGAAAGAGGAACTCAAGGAGGTTAAGAATGATGTGAACTATAAGAAAAGCCATGCCGGAGCCACAGGCAATGAGAAAAAACCCGAGAGCAAAGGCTCAGCCCCAATCTTCAAGGAAAAGCTGCAAGACGTCCACGTAGCCGAGGGCGAGAAGCTGCTGCTCCAGTGCCAGGTGACCTCTGACCCCCCGGCCACTGTCACCTGGACACTGAACGGAAAGACACTCAAGACCACGAAATTCATCGTCCTCTCCCAAGAAGGTAAACGGGGGTGAGGGTAGGGAAGTTGGGGTGCCTGTACCTGCCTGGGTCACCGTCAGAGCATGAAGCTGCAGTCCTCTTGGTGGTCACTTGTAGCCAGAGCCTGAGTTGGAGTAGCCATTCCTTTTCCTCTGTCACGTACGGGATGGACTCCCTGCTGAGGGCCCTTGGGTGTATACATGACCCTACTGTGACGAGAGTTGGCTTTCTGGTTTGTGCAGTACATGTTGTGCCTTGGTGTCTGTCTGGCAGAACCTTCTCCTGGCACCCCACCCTGGGCCCCCGTGAGCAGACCTGTAGGGACTGAGTTGTCTAACATCCCCCCCATCCTCATGGAAAGAGCTATGCTTGCAGACTGGGTAAGGGGGGTACCTGGAACTGAGGTCAGCTGGGGGCCCTGTGCACATTACTGATTGAGAAGTGAAGTGTTATCTGCGTTTAGGAAACAGTGGGTGGTGGCATGCTGGTAGGGAACGAGGGCTTGGCATCAGCAACAGTTCAACCTTGAGAACCTTGTGGGTCCGAAGGGACCCGTGGGCAAGCCAAACACTCGGCACAGCCCGATGGCCACACTCACGCGGGGCAGAGCTGCTCGCTTCCTAATTTGGATGAGACTTTTGTTTGCTGGTGTTTCACATTCTTGGTTGGGGGTGGTGCAAGTCCTGTCACCTATGGCCTTTGGGACTCTGGAGTTCTCAGATGGGCCAGTTTACAGCAGAGAAAACGGGAGTGAGAGGAGATTTGTCCCCAGGCCCTCGGCATGCTTTGTTCTTCTACTACATTTATTTATTTATGTATCTGTGTGTGTGTGTCGGGGGGGGGGGTTGATGGATTATGAATGTGATCACATTACCATGGTACATGTGTGGAGGTCAGAGGAGTTGATTCTTTCCCTCTACCATGAATGTTCCCTGGAACCAAACTCAGGTAGTTAGGTTGGGTAGCAAGCACCTTTACCTGTTGCTGAGGTACCTTACCAGCCCTCAGTGTGCTTTAACGCATCGTTATCCATCCCAAGTCCTGCCAGGAACTCCTAGGTTAGACAACACCCCATAGTCCCCTGAGGTGAGTAGTGGAGGGATGGGGTCCTGCTTGAGCTAGAGCTGACCCTAGTGAGTCACGAAGACGTTCCCAGGATGCGGCATCTACCTTAAGGTGCAGAGGACAGTCCCTGCAGAGGCTGAGTGGACAGGTCTTAGCAAATGCTAATGCACTGAGACAGAGACCAGCCCCTTCTTCCCCTCCTCCATCTCCAGCTAGCCTCTGGTCACTCCCCTCCCCACCCACTCTCCCCTCATCCCAACACCTGGAAGGAGGTGTTTACAGATAGCAGCATTGTTGTCCCTTATTCTACGGTTCCGCCAGCTAGCCCAGAGGGGCCAAAATATATGGAGTCTAAATGTTGAAGGACCACAAAGCAAGCTGGAATTTCTTTCAGCAGAGAGAGATGATTTTATTTTCTGCTAGTGTATTGGCAACTTTTTCAATGGATGTCCCCAGATTGGCAGGATTCTCCAGAAGGTATCTGTCCCCATGTCTGCTAGTTCTGAGTCTATGATATTCACACACAGTAAGTCTCGTGGCCTCTGTAGTGGGGGGAGAAGTACGTGACAGTGGGTGCTACCATTTTCCCTGTTGTACCCAAGGTCCTCTTTCACACAAACAAACTGGAAAGCTTGGCCAGGGGTGTTTCCCAGGTCCCCATGTTCAGTGACCTCTCTGGGCAGGATGGAGGACAGCCACCGGCCTGGGACATGTATGTGATAGAATCCTGCACAGAGAAACAGGGCTTCAAACAGTGGTGAAGGTGGCAGTTCCTAAAGCCAAAGCCACCAATGGCCACTTACAGTCTGTTCAATGACCAGTGTAAGGCAGGCCTCAGCCCTGGTTCCAGAAGTGTTCCTGAGCCACCAGCCACTGGCTTCTCTTATGCCTGGGTTGCTTGGAGTAGGCTGTAGAGCAGAGATGTAAACAGCATCTTTGCCTCGCAAAAGGAGAAAGCTCCAAATCAGACTCCAAACAGTATTCTCAGTACTTCAAAGTAGAAATGTCTAGTTTCCATTGGTGGAACACCATGTCCTGATGCCATCTTAGTCACCTGACACTTCCTGTTCACTTAGTTCTCACACTCCTAGCTATCTTTCTAACAGAGAAGTTAAGTAAATTGTCCAAGGTTGCATTAAGTAATAGAGCTGGGATTGTAATTCACATAGTTGAGATTTTTGTGACTAGACACAAATGTTGGGAGACAGGTGGTATCCTCGGCTTGCCAACTGTTTGGTCTTTTCTCTGTGATGAAGAGAGCAGACTGTGATGTGAGCCTCTCTTGCCACAGTAAATGGGAGAGTGCATGTCCTCCGGATGCCAGCCCCACCTCCTATACCTACATTCACCAAGTCTTTAAGAGGGATGTGCATCTTAGAGCTTATCAGCTATCAATCATCTATTTGGTCCAGGAAGGCAGCAAGGTGACCAGAGGTGGACAAATCTGTTCCTAGTAGATCTGGCACAGAAGACATGGGCTCACTATTATAAAACTGTTGAAGCCAGACACCACAGAGTGGATCTGAGGGGAGCTGTAGCATGCTAAGGAAAGGAATGACTGACGGGAAAGCCCCTGGGCTCCCTTGGAACTCAGAAAGCAGGCCAGATTTGGGCAATAGGGAAGTAAATGGTCCCTGTACATTGGGGCACTAAAGGCTGGCTGCTTGCTGGACTGGCTGTAGTGACTTGGCCCTGATTTCAGCCCACATCCTGTCAGAGAACATGTCTGAAAGCAACAGAGAGCCATGCAGGGGGAGATTTGGAAGAGTGGAACACTACAAACAGTTGGTTTTTAGGGGCTCCGACTGGCTCACTACTGAAGATATAGCACAGGGGATGGTGGTGAGGTCCACACTCCCAAGGTGAGCTGAGTCACAAAGGGAACAAATCCAGTGCAAGAAGTACAGACATCTGCTATAAAATCGGTGGCCTGGCTTGAAGGGCAGGGTGATGGCCAGGGCTGGGCACAGAAGAGGGAGGTGGAGCGGACTGAGTGTTCCTGAGCCATGGGAAGGGGGGGGGGGGTGTTATCCCTGGAACTCAGTGGGTGACTTGAGGTGACGAGTGGGGGAAAGAGCAATACCCATCTTCCTGTCTATCTCCCCACCTCTACCTCCGGCTGCACTGGCGCCTAGCCTGTCAGTCTCCCCCTCTTTCAAGATTTACTTCCTCTAGGATATTTTTTCAGCCTCTGTCCCTTTAGTCAAGAGACACTCATGCCCTCCTTGTACCCAGTTAATCTGTGGGTTTCAGAAGGCCCACTGCTAGGGATGGCCTGTGTAGGTATGGGGGTTCCTCTGCTGAGCCCCAGGGCCTGCAGGACAGGATCACATCCACCCCACTTAACGCAAAGAAAACCCCTAGAAGAGGTATGACGGTTATTGGTGGGATTTGACCATTAGGCAATTCTCGGAGGGTCAGGGAAGTGGAAGTGGTCTTCCTCATCAGTACCCAGATGAGGATATCTGTGGGACATCTGTGTTCTAGAGACATCAGCTGGACCTGCCCTCTAGGGACAGGCACCTGGGCTTTCTATCTTGGCTATAGGGGTGACCCTGGAGTCCAGGCACGGCTGAGGTAGCAATAAAAGGGCATTTATTTCCAAGGTTTGCTTCCTGACTCCAGGCTGGGCTTCCCCTAGCAAAACACTTCTCCCAGTCTAGTAATGACGCTTTGTTTTTGTTGCTATTATCAAGAGATGATTCATTTTTTTAAATTGCCTTCAGGGTGGACTCTTACGAAGGCTTTTTCGATCTTGTATAAATTCATCCTGCAAATTACGTAGCAGCTACTACCGACAAGGCATTCATTATCCATGATACCTTTGCTTGGATGTAGACTCCATTTAAAGAACTCAAAATTACCTATTTCTTTCTGTCTAGAAACTGCCTGATCTTTTCAACAATACAGATTAATATATGTTACTGATTATGTGTTTGTGACCTTGTCTTGCGTAGATCCTTCCAGGTCACCTGTTGTGGAAATAGCCTCTGCTATTCAGATAATCTCAGCTACTTATTGCAACTACATTCCAGCATGGTTACTTCCCTCAGAGCTAGCCTGGGAGACAGGAGTGTGATTCAGTAATGGCCTTGAGGTAGGCTTTGCTACCACAGTGTCAGATGCCTGGGAAAGCCCAGGAAAGGTGCAGTTAGAGCTAGGGCCTTAGAGGTAACACCAAGGACACTGTGCCCCAGGAAGGGACCCTAAGTGAGTGACAGTGTTGGTCAATGCCTATTGGGAGGTCAGGTCAGGGAGGCTTCTGGAACCACCAGGAGCCTCTAGGACTTCAGGCAACAATCCTAGCCTCTTCTCACCCCTTCCCAACCTACTCAGGAAAGGGAAGGAGAGTTAGTGGGGGGTCTTTTATCACAGAAGAGCCTCTTCCTGTCCAGGAGGGGCTCTTGACATAGCTCCTGCTGAACCACTCAGTGGATTCCCGCTTCCCATCCCCCCAACACTCCTTCTCAATACTCCCTACCAGGCTGACCAGCTGAGGCTTCCAAAAAAAAAAAAATATGCTGGGAAACAGTTTTCTTCTGGAGGTCAAGAATGAGCCGTCCCACAGGAAATACCAGATTCTTCATCTGGGGTGGCCAGCCTCCAGCCTGCCCAGTCTTCTAAGCCACGATGCATGTGGCCATGGCTAAGCTCTGCTGGGGCCGTGGAGAGCTGGGAAGAAAAGTGGGCTCTTGTTCAAATATGCCATGGCTAAGCTCTGCTGGGGCCGTGGAGAGCTGGGAAGAAAAGTGGGCTCTTGTTCAAATATGCCATGGCCCTTCTAGCCCTCGCATGACTATCTACTGTGCCTGTCGTTTAAGTTTCAGGCCAAAGGCAGCCAGGGGACCAAAACGTGAAAAACAAAAACAAAAAACGGGTTATGAAGCGCGATTTAACTTGGGGATGGGGAAATGAAATTTGTCCTCCCAGACCAGGGAAATTCAGAGGCGGGTGGGTCTCTTCTGAACCTTGTGTTGCAGGCTCAGATGTTAGGGGTCATCCTAACATTCTCCTACCCACCAAGATGAATGGACTTGCTCCCTTCGCTCCCCTGTCACTGTGCCTCCCAGTTCTTACTCTCATGCCAGACTTAAATCCTTTCTGTTGCAGTTGGGAGGATATGGTGGCCCATTGTCTTCTCCATGGAAAGACAGTGAGGCCTGTTCAAGAGCTGGGAGGAGGGCGGGGACACAGATCAGCTGTGCTACCCCACTAAACATTGTAGCCTTTCCAGCTCTGCAGCCTGGGTATGGTGCTGTGGGCCCAACTGATGCTTCCCTTGTTCTCTCAGTTTCCTGCCACCTGCTTTGTATAACCATGTAACGGAGGGAAGGTAGTAATTGGTTATTTTCCCACTGATCTTGTCCCTCATCCTCCCAGTGACAGTGACCTGGGGGCTGTGGGAATGGGTAGCTTACAGGCAGCAGGGTGGCACGGCTCTGCTCTGTCCTTCTCTTCACTGGGTGACTTGAGCAGGATGCCATACTATAGGCTTGTTCACATATCTCAAGGGAAGACCTAGCAGATGGGCTGCACCCTTGACTGACCAGGCTAGCCCCATTCTTAGGTGGCCCACACCTACCCCCAGGAAGATCTCAAAGAGTCCCGACCGGTCTGAGGGTGAGAGAACCGGATGAGGAAGGACTGGATCCCTGAGCCCTTGTATGTTCTCAGCCTGCCTTCCATCTCGGCCCTAGGAGATGGTAGGGCAAGGGTAGCCCACGTGGACTGTAAGGAAAGAGGCCATTCTCGCCCTTCCCGAGGGGGCAGGCAACCCAGCATTGTAGGAAGGATGCCCCAGTAGTCTCTCTTATGGCCTAGGACCCCTTGGTGGTCTGTCCTTAAGCCATAACTCTCTTCCTAAAAAAGCCATTTGCCAAGTCACACACCACAGTCACTACGTTCTCACAGGAGAGCTTCCCAAAGGCCAGTGTCCCTGTTAGACACGGGTTCCCACCCTCTCCTACTTACTTGTTCACTCAAACCTCCCTTTACCTTGTGCTGGTGAGATGTCTCAATGGGAACGTGTGCCTGCCACCAAGCCTAACGACCTGAGTTGAATCCCTAGCACCCATATGTTGGAAGGAAAAAGCTTCCTGGAAGTTGTCCTCAGACCTCCACACATACATCATAGCAAACACATGTTTGTTTTGGTTTGGTTTCTCAAGACAGAATTTCTCTGTGTAACAATCCTGGCTGACCTGTAACTTACTCTGTAGACCAGGCTGGGTTCGAACTCACAGACATCCGCCTACCTCTGCCTCCCAGCTGCTGGGATTACTGGCGTGCGCCCCCACTGCCCAGCCAAACTCATGGTTTTTGTATTTTGTTTTCTTAGAAACTCGCTTTACCAAGCAGTATCCCCAGCATCGCTGCTAGGTGACTCCTTCCTGGCCACTGTCCCCAGGAAATTGTACCTGGCTGCTTATGTTCTGTGTTGGGGACAGGCAATGTCCATCTGCCCCTCCCCCTTCTTTCCACCGACAAAGGCCTGTCTCCCTCCTTCTGCGGCTTCCTGAGAGCCTTCCAGTGGGGGAGGGGTCCTGAAGGGTTGACTGGGAATTAGGAGTTAGGCTCTTTTGGAGTAGGTTGTCAACAGAGAGTCTGAGGATTCAGGGAGAGCCAAATTCTCGCCTGGCCTCTGCTCTTGGATTCTGAGAAGGGGCTTGTAAGGACACCTCCTGTGCTCCAGCTACCAGGGAAGGTACTGCGCCCTTGCCTGGGAATTCACACATTTCCTGTTCTCCCTCCACAGGCTCACTCTTCTCCATCTCCATCGAGAAGGCACTGCCTGAGGACAGGGGCTTGTACAAGTGTGTAGCCAAGAACAGCGCTGGCCAGGCCGAGTGCTCCTGCCAAGTCACTGTGGATGGTAAGTCATGCTTACCCATTGCTGCCACACAGGGCCCATCTCTCGGCCCATCCTACATCTGAATGACTCCCCACCCCAAATTTTCCCCAGACTTACTTTAGCATTCGTTTGGTGAGACTCCAGCTATCAAGAAAGAAAGAAAGAGAGAGAGAGAGAGAGAGAGAGAGAGAGAGAGAGAGAGAGAGAAAGAAAGAAAGAAAGAAAGAAAGAAAGAAAGAAAGAAAGAAAGAAAGAAAGAAAGACGAGAAGGGAAGTGACAACCTCACCTTGATTACCTGACTGCCCACATGGCCTCTTCCTGTATCTCTAGCCAGGAAGAAGGGTTGTTCACCTTCTCCTCCCTCCCCTCCCTGTCCTGACCTCCACACCCAGAAGCTTCTGGGCAAGGAAGTCGGGCACAAGGGCACCAGCAAGAGAAAGGGCACACCCACAGGAAAATGACTCTAAGTATTTGACAGACCACAGCAAGCAAGTGTGTACAGTGCTGGTGCCCAGGCCCCCTGAAGAACCTTGACCTGGGGATAGAGTTGTGTGCAAGTGTCCTCCAGGAGAAGGTGAGTCAGGCTGAGGTGGGGGAGAGAGGAGAATAAGGCTGATTCTGCCCAAAGAAAACATGACAGCAGAGAGAAGGAGAGAGAGAGAGAGAGAGAGAGAGAGAGAGAGAGAGAGAGACCCCTGAGGAGTAAGTAACTCAGGAAGGAGCAAGGCCCAGCAGGAAGCATGTGTTTGTGTCTCTTTATCCTGTCTGTGAGGAGTGTGGAACTAGAGCCTGGGGGTAGAAGGAGCCTTGTGCTGGTTTAGACTGACATCCTGGCTATCATCTCTCCTCGTCATCACAGTCAGCATTAGAAATCAAACCCTACCAGGACCCCTGCGGGACTCTCAACCCAGTGCCGTTTGTTTTTCGATCCATTGCCTATCCTTCATATGTTCATACTTTCCTGGAAACGTCTAAAAAGGTAGTTTTGGGGAATCAGTTTCTTGCCCCTGAAATGCCTGCTTAATAACCGTCAGTAACTTGTCAAAACTGGTGTCCAAATAAGGCATCTGGAGGAACAGCTTCCTTGTTCTGACTCCTGAGTCTGATCACTCTGGTGCCGAAATCCTAACCTAGTTTATGGTCATCCCATAAGTCAGAGAGTCTTTGTCCTCGTGCTGGATCTCATGACTCCCTGGTCACAAAGCGCAAAGTGGGGTACATAATAAATGGGAGAAAAGATGGGGTGTCTTCTGAAGGAAAGTGTCTTTTGAAAACATACAATTGCAAAGTAAATTAAATAGTTCTAGCAATAAGAAGAAGGAGAAGGAGAAGCAGCAGCAACAGCAGCCAAAATGGTCTGACAGGGTACAAGTAGCCTAGCCTAGGAATGACTTTCTAGGAACTACGGACTCTGCCTCTGAGGAAGGAGATCTGAAGGATCAGGGTTCATGGTCAACTCAGTTGTGTGCTGTGAGGCTCCTGCCTACTGCTGGTGTGTGTCACCTGCCTGTCACCACCTGGGTTAGGGACCTACTGCCCTCTGTCCAGGCGGTGCCTTCCTGGAAACTGATTTCTAAGGCCCCCACTTGGGGCTTAGGGCAATAACTCCTATCCATAAGTGGCCCATCAGCTAATGAGGTTATCTGCTTTTGAAATCCCTGGCCTCTTGAGCTCCTATTTACACGGTGCACTTCAGGCAAGACAGCAATTTGTTCTCCTTATCTGCACAGTGTCAGCACCTTTTCCAGATTTGTTTGCAAAGGGCAATTTCCTTTTCCTTTGCACAACATGTTTAGGAGGTTTTGTTTGGTTTGGGTTTTTTTTTCTCCTGTTTAGGGGACTCATTCATTCTGCAACTTAAGAGGCTCTGATTGCCGAGGAGGCGTCCTGGGGGCTCTTTGTGGTCTCCACTGTCACTTCTCTCCAGTTCCTTCAAAGTCAGAATTTGGCCCCTGGCTACAAATCAGGACCTGGAACTTGGAAAGAGAACTAGAAGAGAGCCAGGAGAGACAGCAGCTGAGACAACAGAAGCGACTCACAGTTAATTGGCCTTGGTCTGGTTTTGTTTGCAGATAGGAAAAAGGGCAGCCTTCTTCTCCAGCCTTACTCCCCATTTCCCATGCTGTTGTAGTTGGCCATGTGTCCTGTGCCATCTCTTAGATGAGCTTCTTGCCACGCTTAGCTCTATTTCCCCCCAGGAGTCACTGCCAGGCAAACCCTGAAGGATGGCAGGCTCTTTAACCAACCTTATGGCAGCTTTTTGCCTCCTTTGGGTTTGGGTTTGGCCAAGCTTAGTGACCTCCTGTCTTTTCCTTCTCTCAGCTTTCCACACTCCCAGGACATGGTGCTCAGAGATCTCAGTAGATCTGGCCATCCTTCGTTATTGTCAAAAGCCGATGTATGTGTGGCAAGAGCGTCTTTCTAAAAAGCAGGATCCATGGTTTCAGTCAAATTCTCAACGAGAGTTGGCGTATGCCATCTTGGATTATGAGTGCTGGGGAGGCAGAGGCAACAGGATCACAAGTTCCAGACCAGCGTGAGAGATTGTCTCAACAAAGAAATAAAGATAAGGCAAAGAAAGAAGGAAGGGAGAAAACATTTGCCCTTAGGAGTAGCTAGCCAGGGCTGACTTTATGTCAGCGAACGCTTCTAATCCATCTACTGTAGCCACCTGCCTGAACTTTGGGTAGAAACAGTCCTGCATCCCTTCCAAATGGCAGTGAGGTCCCTCCCTACTGTGCTGACTTCTGGTTGGCTTTCCTGCTGTCACTCAGCAGAGCTGGTCTTGCCTCCTGGAAGCCACTACCACTCATTCAGCCTGTGTCCAATACCATTAAGACTACAATGTGAGGATGCATTTCAGGATTTCACAGTCAGGAATCCTGTTGGGCTCAGGTGTGTTCTGTCTGTTTCTTTCCTTCCTTCTTTTCTCCCTTCCTTCCTTCTTCCTTTCTTCCTTCGCTCCTCCAACTTTTCCTCCTCCTCTTTTGTTTGTTTTTTAAGACAGGGTTTCTCTGTGTAGCCCTGGCTGCCTTGGAACTCATTCTGTACACCAGGCTGGCCTTGAACTCACAGATCTTTCTGCCTCTGCCTCCACAGTGCCAGGATTAAGGTGTGTGCCACCATGCTTGGCAAGTGTTCTGTTTCTTATAAGGCAGGAAGGAGTAACCTACAGAATGCAGTGTGTCCGGCTATTAATAGCCCTAGTTGGGTCATTTGCCTATGAAAACAGATATTTATGCCCTTTGTTGATTGTGGTCGTATCATCCTTTCTTCCAAACTTAGTAGAAGGTAGGTGTCAACTTGTCCCATCCAGAAGGGTACTGAACCTGTGATGGGCAGAACTTGACAAAAAACTCACCCACACGGGAAGTAGTTGACTTTTAATATCTGCTGTGGCTAGAGACTTTTGTACTTCATCTTTTCAGTTTCTGCAACAGGGGGCAGGCTACCTTTCCCAAGGAGCAAATGGGCTCACAGAGACTGACAGTAAGACCCACTCCAGGCTGAAGCCCCGCCCAGTAAAGCGCAGCATTCATTGTCTTGAGAGAACTCATGTGTGTCTGGTCCTGGGGCCTGTCAGACCTTTCCCAGCTGGCTCTGGTCAGGGAATGTGCATGTCAAGTCTCTTTTGAGAGACCTTGGCATCCATCATTGGCTGCCCTCTGCTGGGAAGTCATTTCTACTCAAGGGACATTCATTCCTATGATTCCCTCCCAGCTCAGGGATCCCTTCCTCAGGTACACTAGCCAAAGCATCCAGCCTTATCTTCAGGGAGAGCAGGGCTTCACGGTCACAAAAGATCATGTGTCTTTGGGTAGGGGAAGCATGTACCAGTGGCAACCATGCCATCGTTCGTTCATTCAACGAACATTTAGGTCTGCACCCTGCCAGGCACAAGGAGCTGGTGTTTGGGCTTGGTGTGTGTGTGTGTGTGTGTGTGTGTGTGTGTGTGTGTGTGTGTGCATATGCACGCACAAACACTTGAGCAATACAATGTGATGTGGAAAAAAACACAGCCTGGTAATGGGGAAGGGACTACTTCTTCAGAAAAGGGTTGCTGAGGACTTATGGTAGAATGGACATTTGAACAGAGACCTACAAGGAGTTTTAGAAGAGAAAAGAGGTGAGGGAGAGAAAAAGCAAGAGAAAAACCCAGAGAGACTGTGCTTGTGGGCAGTGTGGGAAGAAGCAGCAGACTGGTGGGCCAAGCACCAGGTGCAGAGCGCCAGGAAACAAAGCTAAAGAGGGGCAGGGTCCAGGGCTGCAGAGCCGCATGAACTGGAACAGGAAACCAGGTTTTAGTCCAGTGTATTGGGACAGCAGCAGATGCTTGTGAAGAATCACTCAGGCATCTTCATGGTGAGCAGACCTCAGACACGTAAGGAAGAGAGCAGGGAGGCCAGCTGCAGGACGTGACGGCATGTAGACTGTTGGAGTAGATAGAAGAGATGGGATTCATCATCTGTTTGATTTAGAGATGATAGGAGCTGCTGATGAATTAGATCTGGAGAGCTGGAGAGGGGCCAGGTCTCTGACTTGTCACATCTAGGCTTTCATGGGGCAGTGAGGGTCAATGGTGATGCTACCCACTTAAGTCAAAATGTGAAGGCTGGGGTGACCATCAACTTTCCATGCATGTGAGGATAAAAATGTCCAGGAGACAGCTCCAGAGGTGAGTCACATGGACAAATATTTAGATGAAGCTGAATCTGAGGGGCTGAAGACAGAACATAGGGTAGAAGCCACACGGAGAGGTCGTTGAGTGACATGGGATTGAATGAGCTCCTTTAGCGGATGTGACTGAAGATAAGACCTGAGAGACAAGAGAGTACAGTCCTGAGAGGAGGAGGCAGATCAAGGGTCTGCAGAAGAGGCTGGAATGGATGTCGTCAAGATGAGAGAACCAAGTCCGGGAGAGAGATAGCCCAGAAGCCTAACGGTCAGGATTCTAGAGAGAAAAGAATGACCAATGAGTTCGATGCTGGGACAGCTCAGCCTGATCGATGACCATTGGAAAGAATAACACAGAGATTGTTACTGGCCATGATGAGAAGGGCTCAGGAGAGGGACAGCAGTATCAGTCTCATTTAATACCAAGAGACTGGATCACCTGCACAGGCCACCCTGGCTGGTTGGATGAGATCCTAAATCCTAGCGCTGGCTCTCAACCACTATGGTCAGCTGGCTGTGCTGAGTAGAAGCTGAGCTGCCTTGGGCTGAGTCTGGCATGTTCCTTAATCCTCTCCTGCTTCCACGTTTATCCTTTAAATCTTCACGTGCAGCTAGTTAGTAGTAGGTGGAACTGAAGCAAACATGGCTGTGTTTATAGCCCTGAAACGCTCAAATAGCCCGAGGCCAGAGGATTGGGTTGAGTCTAAGACTAGCCTGGGTTGTGTGACAAGTTCCCAACCTACCTGGGCTACAGGGTGAGATTTGTCTCCAAAATAAGGAAAGAAAGGGGGGGTGGAGAGAGGGTAGTTGGGAGGGAGGGAGAGAGAGGAAGAGAGGATGGAGGGAGGGACCGAGAGAGGGATGGAGGGAGGGAAAGAATTTAAGTATTGATGAGTGTTATGTTTACCTGCTGTGAGCACATGAAGGACATACATGTGCATGCATGGGATAAATACCTAGTGAATGCCACCTGTTATTTCGATTTTTTTATTACACTTTAATATTTATTTAAGGCCTCAGGACATGAAATAGAGTCTGTGTGGAGGTCAGAGGACAATTCGCAGGACTCATTTCTTTACTTCCACCACGTGGGTCCCGGGGATCAAACTCAGGCCCTCAGTCTTGGTGGCAGGTGTCTTTACCCACTGAGGCATCTCGCTGGCTCCTTGCCTATTGTTTGCCTTCGCTCTTCCGGTGAGATGCTGTTTTTCCTAACTAGGAAGGTTCTCATCTCACAGTTTAGGAGCTCATCCAAGGGCTCATCACCGCTAAACAACCCGGCCAGAAAAGACTTCACGTTTCCCCAGCCAGAATTCTGTATGCTCGTGTGCTGCTTGCTCTTAGGCAGAGAGATGAGCAAGAAAAGAGCCATCTCAGGGGATGCAGGAGTTCAGCCCCCTGCTCTGCCCTTCCTGAGGCTCCTGAAGTTCAGACCCTCCCCTAGAACCTTCCCAAAGCTGCCTCCTCCCTTGCCTAGGGTCAGAGTCCAGGGATCCAACCTCTTGGGGGTGGGGGAAATAGTACAAAAAAGTCTGCCAGGGGCCTGAGTCCAAAGCTAGTCTAGCAGTAGAGGGGATGAGGCATTGTCCATGTAAGGGCAGATCCCCTGATCTCTTTAGGAGCCCCAGATTTTCCACACTTCTATCTTCGACCCCCATACTTTTTTAGGGGCACAACCAGTCCAGCAAAGGACTCCAGCCCTGGGGCTCAGATCTAGAAATAAAACCCAGTTTCATCACAAAATGATTAAAATAGACAGAAAATACAAGCTGCTCTCAAACTTTTATTACTCTTATTTTTATCCCCGGGCAGCACGTGAGCACAAAGCTGGTTTTGATTAAGCGTTTGGTCCTCCCAGCCCATTCCGTGCTGCGGTTCTCACAGTGGCCATGCAGCTTGGTATTCCTGGCTGGGCCCCATACCTCCTACACAGCCCCCACATTACTGGCACTTAGGGGGTGCTGCTCTCCCCTGCCTTGAGCCTCTGGGTTTGGAATATGCCTGGTTTGGAAGGGAAACTTGAGCCCTTTCCTTCAGGGTCTGATGGGGAGATAAGCTGCAGTGAGTGGAGCTTCTCAAAACCAGCTCCATGCGCAGCCCAGGTGAAGTGCTCACTCTTCTCCTGAACCCATGCTGCCCCAGAGCCAAGGGCTCTGCAGAGGTGGGTAGAGCTGATTGAGGGCTTTCTGAAGTGAGAGAATGCTAAAGTCCATTAGAAGGTGAGGGACCATGGCTAACAAAAAGAATGAGTTCATTTAGGTAAATGGTGCTTTTGATCACTCCAAAATACCATCTGGTTTGGTTTTTTGCTTTTTGTTTTTTTGTTTTGTTTTGTTTTGGTTTGGTTTTGGTTTTCTTGAGACAGGGTTTCTCTGTAACTTTGGAGCCTATCCTGGAACTCGCTCTGTAGACCAGGCTGGCCTCGAACTCACAGAGATAGCCTACCTCTGCCTCCCGAGTTCTGGGATTAAAGGTGTGCACCACCACTGCCCGGCCCAAAATATCATCTTATGCCTTGCCTTCTCTGGATTTTGGGATGCAGTGAACTAGAAAAGATAAAAGTTCCCTTTCTACGGCTATGGAAGCAGATTAAATGATTTGCCCAAGTCCTCAAAGGGGCCAATGACAAAGACAAAATGCACCAAAATAGCACCCAGCATGCCTGACGAGGAAAGGCCTCCATGGGCCCCTGCTACCCTCTTTCAAAAGCCAGAAAATCTGGGCCCATCACCTTGGCTTGCTTGTGCCTCCACTTACATGTCAGAAAAAGGACTTTGATCCTCTTTCCCAGACTCCTCTCTGCTCTGGAACTTAGCGTGAGAAAAAGCACACTGAAGCAGGAATTCGGTACTACATACACACTCTGCCATTCATTCCTCCTCCTAGGAAGGGGAAGACAAGACACTTCTGAATGCACCTTTCTTTAAAGTCCCAGGGGTCTTTCTGCTCCTCCAATGTATCCATGTGAAACTGGTGCCTCGGAGCATGGGTGGCAACTTGAGACCTTGTCGGCTCCAGAAGCCAAGAACCCTGAACTCTCCGTCTGGGGCTCCTTTGCTCTTATGGAGGTGGCAGGACAGGGGCGTCATACAGTGGGAGAGGCCGCAGGGTATGGGCTGGGAGGTCAAGCTCTGCTTAAAAGGACCTCTTCCTCCTTTGTCCCTTTTCTTCACCCCATCATATAGTGCTAGGAACTCCTAAGTAATGCTCAAGTGGAATCGTTTCCACAGTTGTGTGTATATGGCTTTGGTTGTATTCAACAGGGGGGTTGACCTTGTCCCTCGGCTGCCACCTAACTAAACCTGTACTGTGCCCACATGCAACTTCTGTCACATGAATGTCACTGTCATAGAGAGGCCAGGCAAGCGGTGAAGGAAGCCTACATGAAAGACTTAGTAAAAGGGGCTGTGTGGACAGATGCACATTCTAGAGCGTGCAAGGAAACAGATGTCATCTAGGAGAAATGCAACCAGAAACTAGGAAGTGTGTGTCCCCCGTCCCCCGATCTCTGCAGTCTATGTTCCTAGTACCACCCCTTACAGGGAACCCAGTTTAGGTAAGACCAGCTGAGGTGCCCAACCTGCAGGCAGGGACAGCCTGTTAGCCCTTCTTCTCCAGCCAAGCCACAGGAATGTGGCCAAAGCCCTTGCTGGAAAATCCCCTCCTCCCTTTGAGCTTCCTCTTTGGGAGCAGGAAATGAAGGATAAGGACAGGAAGGAACTTGGGGGGAGGTGCCTTCCATCCCTTGCCCGAAGAGTAGTAAATACAGGAGCCTGGTAGTGGCCTGTCAGCCAGCGGCTTCTTATCTAAGTCCTGGGTGGTTTTACCACAAAGTTTGAAAAATCCAGTCTCGTGAGAATCCAGAGAGAGCCCTTTCCGTGCCCACGGTGCTCACATCTATCCTCGGGAAGAGTATACCTGCTCCCGGTCGGCATTGTCTGACCTTTACCTTAAGGTGGAAGAGGGAACTTGCTGCCCAGCCTCAGCCAATGGCCACTGCAGGGATCCGAAGACCTGCCTTTAGATGTGCTGCAAATACACTTGAATGAGTCCCAGCCTTAGTCCCCGAGACTATGCGAGTGGCCTGTCCTGAAGCCTTCATCTGGCCAGGCCTGACCCAGGGCAAAAGCAAGTCTCAGAAACCAAAGGCCACGCACACCTTTTAGTCTAGGAACCCAAAGAAACCCAAAGGGGCCTGGTCTTTTTCTTCTGTGTGAGGCCCCTCCATCTGCAGATAGCCTTTGAGATGTAGACCATTTAGATAAGCGAATCAAGGCCCCATGGGGACAAGAAGAGCAAAGGGTATTGAGGGCCTAGGCCCTGCTAAGAGGCCTTAGTCCTGGCAGCCTCTACTGCTACAGCAGGGAGCAATAACCAGCTCGCTAGCTTGGCCATCCATCCTGCTGGGTGACTGTCCCAGCCTCCTGATTTATCAGGACCATCCAGCAGGCGCTCCTTCTTTGGTGCTCCCCTGGAGGAAGGGCCTGCTGCAGGCGCCACTCGGCGGCGGGCACAGAGGGCCTCCGAGTGGAATGTAGGGTGGGTGGGCCGACCAGGGTCAAGGTGGGGTGCTGCCTGGGGTGCCTCCTCTCCTCAGCTCCTTAGACAGCTGCTGACTGATGTTTCTGTTCCCTTTGTTTGTTCCAGATGCTCAGACCGGTGAGAACACCAAGGCCCCGGAGATGAAATCCCGGAGACCCAAGAGCTCTCTTCCCCTTGTGCTAGGAACAGAGAGTAAGTGCCTCTCAGCTTCTCCATACAAAGGCAGGCGTGCTGGCACAGCTGCTGCTTCCTGATCCCCAGCTCTGCCCTGAACTCCTTGAGGACATGCTTCTGCCCATCCCCCAGGGTACCCCATGTCCTCCTGGTTACTGAGCCAATCACCTTTCCTCAACCCCTGCCAGTCTCTCTCCACTCCATCTGCAGCCTGGGGATTTTGTCTTCCTGACCACAACCTCCAGACCTCCTGCACCTCTTTTTGGTTGTCACTTAGACCCCCATGGGAACGGTTCCTCATCTTTAAGTTGATCCTGTCCTGTCAAGGGAACCTTCCTATAGGTTACTCTGTGCTTATGACATCATCAGAAGTGCCCAGTGGTCCCTACCGACTCCCGCAGGTTAGCCTCTCATGTGTTCCTGCCCTGAACAAACCTGCATCTGCACTGTGTGCACAGGTGCAGCCCCATGTGTGCCCTGACTGCTGTCTCATGCTTGTCCCCTCCCTAACAGCTATTCCATAGAGAGCTCCTCACTGAGTCCTGGGGAGCCCCATCTCCTTTCCTTTCTCGTGACTTTGCCTTCATGGGCAACTTTCCAGAAAACTCTCACTAAAGCCACCTCAGTAACTTTCCAGAACATCCAACTCCCACCTTGACTGATCTTCTTGGCTTTATAGTAATGTCCTCGTGTATCCCCTGAAGGCCAGCCTGGCCCTCAGGATGGCATGCTGTGTCTATGGAAGGATCTCACTACAGTCTTTCCGAGTCAGATTTCAGAATATTAGAAATAGTCGGGTAGAAAGGGCACAGGTATAATCAAAACCGTACAAGACTACCTCCCTCCTTCTGGATCTGACACCCCCCCCCCCCGTGACCGGCATCTCTATTAGACAGGGTGCTTCGGGTACATGCTGCTTTCATGCCTACAAAGCTGCAATTTAAAAAAAAGAACTGTTTCAAGATAGTATTTGAAATGTGTAATATTAATTTATTCATCTTTATGCAGTTGTAAAATGTAACCTACATAATCAAAATTTAATACCTATCAAATAAAAGTATCTAATGATAGACACAGAGGTTCCTAAAGTCCTCAAAAGCCATAATGCAGCCTCGTCTTCTGCTGTGCTTATTAGTGTGGCTTTTATTAGCAGAACTACCTTATTAAAGTTCCAGTTTTACAGGGCACAGAGTTCCTTGACCATTGCCAGAACACACTAAGTTTTAAAATAAACAGAAAGCCAGGCATGGTGCACACTTGTAATCCCAATATTTGAGAAGCTGAGGTGAGGCTAGCCTGGGTTACATAGTGAGTTCTATGCCCACCTAGGATACAGAGTGAGACTCTCAAAAAAGAAAAAAATTTAAAAAATCAAAACAGAAAACAAAACCAGAAGATAAGCTCTCACTTCTACTAGTAGAGGGAAGCGATCCAGTCTCCTTGTTCCAAAGATCAGTTTTCTTTCCATGATAAGATTGTGTTTTATGGCTGCGTTATTCTTTTCTGTGTAAAGCCGTGTGTTTGCCTTTGCTGCTGCTGAGCTCTTGGAACACGGCTAATCGGACCGAAGGGTCAGAGGTCCTCCCTCAGCCTTCATGGTGGGGTAGCCAGCGTGAAGGTAGAATCTCTCCAAGATGTTTACACGAAGTGAGATCCACTCAGACAGCGGAGGAGTCAGGACTGTTCTGAGTAGACTTTAATAAGCTGTTGAAAGCTCAAGGACAGTCGTGCGCACCTAGGAGAAATGAGTTAGCGGTGTTATTCTCCAGAGCTGCCGCCTGGGCCTGGCTGTGCTAACTGTGGGCCAGCATGAGCGAACCAAGTGTTGCTCTTAGAAGAGCAGCAGGAACTGTGACACAGGCGTCATAAGGGGGCTCACCTGACAGGGACAGAGGTCCAGCCACCCCGTCTTCAGGTCTGGAACCCCGTTCTGTGCAATCCTGAGGAGGGTGAGACAGGGTCAGAGCAGACTGTGGAGAAGAAAAACAAGTGCAAGGAGGCAGGGAGACAATGAGCAGGCTCCGCACTGGGCACTTTGCCCTGCAGAGCAGGCGGCCGTGGAAAACCCCAACCAACTTGTCATCATCACACTTTGGGGGCCTACGTGGCAGCTCTGGCTGCATATTAGAGTCACCTGTAGAACTTGGAAACCACCGTGCCCAGGCTGCCCTCAGACCAAGTCAACAGAAACTCTAGGGTGGCGGCTGGGATTCCGCGTTTGTTCATGCTCCTAGATTGTCCCAGTGTGGAGCCATACTAAAAATCTGCCTTTCCGTGGGAAGCTGTCTCTGTTATCCATGGTTGGTTCAGAGCAGGAGAGGATTTGCCTGCTGCCTCTGGGAAGGGTGCAGAGTCCCCCAGGTGCCCTCACACTAGTGGCTTAAGAGCAAGACACCCTGTGGAGGCAGCCTTAAGGTACTGGGAGTGGGGAAGCAGGGGCTGGCAGGAAGTGTTTGGACCTCATGGAAAACACAGTCAGCACAGGATTAACTCCACCTACTCATCTGCAAAGAGACCTTCACTCCTCTATGGTCCTGTGATGGATATTCCATCCCACACACCCTGATGGCCTCCCTGTGCTGGCTTGTCTACGCAGTCACCACCACCCTAAGCCTATTGTCTCTCTGTGCATTAGGTTATGGTTTTGGCTGCCCTCTACATGCATGCCTGTCCCTTAGAAACCTGCACCCCAGAGGCCTGAGGGACCCCACCAAGGTTGGTCCTTGGCGCCTTCTGACAAGGTGGCTGCTCCCAGGGACAGGAAGTAAAGGTGGTGTCTTAAAGTCTGTGTCCCCAATTCTTTTATTCTTTGAGGTATAATTTGTTTAAAATTGCTTAAGTTATATATGCATGCATTCTCGTGAGCATTTTAAGACATACAAGAATATACCAAGTGCAATGTGAAAATACTCTTCTGTCTTCTATTTCATTTACACACTCACTTGCTTTTGTTCTGTGCACGTTATATGTGTGCTAATACAGAAAGTCCTCGGCAGGAAGGGTTTATCCTCCCCACTGAAACGGGAGCAGACATGTAGCATGCATGCCCTCATCACATGCCATGTTTGCTAGCGTGTTATCCTCGTTCCCAGACGTGTTGGATTCTCTGAGCGGTCCTTCTCTGGATTATACATGTGGTTTTGTCACAAGGCTGTGAAGTATCTAATCTAAGGAGGAAATCCATCTTTCCTGAGGAAAGGGGGGCGACTTTCCTGTCAAACAGAGTATAGCCAGGCCCCTTTCTATGCACCCTCCTGTCCCAAAGGATGGTTTATTCCTATGAGCCAGCTGTTGGTGTAGGACTGGACAGTGTTGACCACACTTGCCTGGGAGCCCCCAAGCCTCATTGTGGCATGAGAAAGAATCCAGGCAGTCTACCCCCACCCCCTTATGACTAAAGTACTTGTTAACCTGCCAGTCACCCAAGTCACAAGCCACAAACACGGGAGGAAGTTTGGGAGGGTTTGAGGTGAGGAAAACTCAGAACTGGGTTTTGAAGGAGGCAGAGGAATGTAGTTTATGTGGTTTGAAGAAGAATGATAACATTGGCAGGGGAGGAGAGGCCGGCGGGAGCTTGGGGGAGGAACTGCAGATGCTGGAGGGAAAGCTGGGAGGACAGCTGAGTCAAACAAAACCGGTGTGCTGGTGCCGTGCACAGGCGTCATGTCAGGAGCTCCTTTTGTGCGCCAGTAGTCAAGCCTCTGCTGCCTTAGAAATGCTTTTTGTTCCCATTTCCTAGAGAAGCGAAACTGAGCCTCAGAGATGAAACTGACCTGCCTTAGGGTCTCCCAGCTGGTAAGGAACGGAGCCGTTGTGGTCCGTCTTCCTGCCTCGTCCCCTTTCACCTTGCTGTAGACTTGGCCTCGCTCCATGTTGACCACACAAACACAAGGGCCGACAGTTCTTCCCCCTGGCCCGCAGTGGCAGCAGGAGGAGGTGGGGTGGCAGAGGAGTCAGGAAAGGCACTGACCTGTGTCCCTGAATCTAGAGGCCTCTCAGTGTGTGTGCTGCATGCCTCATGATGGGGTTTTTGAAACAGCCATTTTGATATTATTTCAAAGTTACAGAGAAAGTCCAAGAGCCAACCGTGCAAAGAACTCTTGTGTTCCTTCTACGTGCGAATCACCAGTTATCATTTTATCCCAGCATTTTGTCATTCTCTGTATATTTATAATTTTAATCTAGATAGACAGATACCATTTTAAATCATTTCTTGCTCATTGTATGTCTCCTAAGAATAAAACCACAATATGTAGTTGGAATCAGGAAAGTTGACACTTAACCAACATTGCTATCTATTTTGTCCACAGTCTACCCTCCTTTTTTTTTTTTTTTGTCACTTGGCCCAATAATGTCTTTTCTTAGTGAAAATATATTATCAGCATCCCTGGGTTACTGTACCTCCTCCCTCAACACAGGATTGACTCCTCTTCTTGTTTTGGAGATAAAATGGGAGATGTGCTCAGGCCCAGGGAGAAGCACTGGGTCTCTGCCTGAGCTGAGTTAGCCGCTGAGAGACAGGAACGCCTCAGTGAAGCTCCACGTGTCCAGAGGTGGCTTGTTACGATCACTTCCAGGGAGTTGCTCAGACATGGGGCATAGCAAGAAAGCCGTGGGGTAGCAAGAAGCAGAAGTCTTGGTTCTTCTACTAGCTAAACACATAGCTTTTCTCAAAGGCCTTCGACCCTTTAGAACATGGCTTCCTCAGTATCCAGTGAATACCTTCCAAGGCTGGTCTCAAACCTTGTCCAGCTGTGACATCAGGACACTGACGCTGAGTTGTGAGGGACACAGTTCCGGAGAATCTGGCTCTCTAAGGTTACACAGTGATGGAAGCACCCTACAGGGAGGGTGGCCCGGAGCCTAAAGCCCAACTTTGGGGTGCTTCTACTGAAGGGGATCTCATTAGCCAGTGGAATTCTTGGGGACTTTGTGTAGAGGAAGGCAAGCATTTTTACTTGAAGGATGGATTCATAGGCCTTAAAAGATGGTTTTAGAAAATATAAGTTAAAAAGAGACGAAGCACAGACGAAGCAATGTCAGCACGGTGATAGACCTGGGTCCTAGTAAGAAAGACATAACGAGCGCCTGTTGGTTTTACAACTTAGCATAACAGATATTTGAGTTGGGTCCACAGTATTTAATCTTCCCAATCAAAGCATGAGTTCCTCCTGATTTAAGGGCCCCTGCCCTTACTGTTCTGTGACTTAGGGACAACTCAGGGGCACCTTCCCTTTGTAGTCTGTGCCTGGCCTGGACACTCACCTCTGGAGGGTGGTGCACATGGGCTCCTGGTGACCACAGTGGACCGTTTCTGATGACATTGTTTCTCTTTGTTTTGGTCCATCTTATGTGTCTCTGTGAAACTAAAAGTCATGTTGACTTGAAAGTATCTATGAGTCTCAAGCATGTTGTCTAGTCCTCTTGGTCTTCTCTAGGTCAAATCTTTTTAAAAAGCATTCTCTGCAGGCCATGGGAAATATTAAATTCTGATCAAACCCACAGGGCTGAAAGGAAATCTAGAAGAACTTGCCTAACACTGGAAGTATGGGGCCCATGGAGAACAGTTAGGATGTTTTTACAGATGCCCCCGAAGGCAGGCACCAACCCTTCCTACACCACCTCTTTACAGGGTGTATATTTGACTGTGATAGTACCCCACATGTATCTGTGCCCATGCATGGGATACCTTGATCGTCATTCACTGGGCTGCTACTTCCAGATCCTTCAGCTTTCTCGCTATCTTCCATGAGCTGAGTAACTGATGGTCTCGGTCATTCCCAGAAGCAGCTTATGGGGGCCTGACAAGCAGCACTGGCCCTGCTGGCTCGGCTGGCCCGGCCATGCTAGACTCCTCTTTCACAACTATCATGACATTCCATGGGGTTTGGGAATAATAGCTTGCAGCAACAAGAGGAGTTGTGTTCCTCTGGAAGCTATGAAGGGAGGCAAGTGGGCAATGTGCCCAGAGATGTTAATTCTGGGAAGACAACCAGTATGTCTTCACATGTCTGTAATAATGTACTAGAAGGAGTCAGTGGGTGAGGGGACAGTCACTCAGTGCCTTGCGCCTTTCTCAGTGGAGGTTATCGGGAGCTGGCCTGCTAGTCCCAGACTCCCTTGCCAGCCTCAGGGGTGGCTCTACTTCTTGCCTTACCCAGTCTGTGTCACTCCCAGGAGACTTGAGCAGACAGTGAATGCTGGTTTTGGGAATTTGAAAGGGTTTGATGCCTATTTATAGTTAACTACCTAAAAAGGGAAATGTCCCCAGAGAGACAAAGATCCAGGGACCTGCCTGTACCCAAGGCTGTTGTTGTTAGCACCAGCTCCCTAACTGACCCTCTTCACTCTGCAAGAATCAGAAAGGGGTACTCATCTGCCTTCAAACTGAGCCATCTAGAAACTTCCATGAGACTGACCCTCTTCCTTCCAGGACATAAAGAAGGTTCTCAGGGCCAGTACTAGTTTAGGCCTGGGCAGAAAGATGCAAAAGACATTTCCAGAATCAGTTACGCAGAACAGATTTCTTCCAGCAGTGCCTTGGCTTTCTGAGGAAGTATCTCGATTCTTTCTTTTTATTCATGATTTTACTGGGCTGTTTTATTTGGCCTCCAAATCTCATCTGGAGCAGAAGACTTAGTTCCTGGAAGTTTTGATCAAGGATGTGACAGAGCACACACTTAATGTTATGGAACGTGGTAACAAGATTTGTACAGCCTGGCTACATCTCAACATCAGTTCATTAGAAATTCCCAGGTTCCCAGAGATCTAATGGTCTCTGCCCTCTCATACCTACTTGGCAAGCCCATGCCAGTTTGCCACTAGGGCCCTCGAGGTATAGCAGGGGGACATGGGACTTTGTCCCCTGGGAACTTGGTGTGTACATTTTGTGAGTAGGTTTCTGAACCTGCTGGTGACTGGGATAGACCCACTAGGAGGAGCTATTCTTGGAGTTTGTGTGCTGAGCTGAGAGCTGCTTACAGAATGTGTAGAAGTCTGCCAAGAGACTCAGCATGTACAGGGAGCCATGGCATGATGCTAGTGTGCAGAAACTGAAAGACGCTGAGTGTGGCGTGCAGAGGAGCGTCACCTAAAGACCAGCACGCAGCTGACCAGTAGCAGCTGGAAACCTGGAAAGTCTCTAGGTGGTCACAATGCACACTGAGACTTGAGAACTAGGAGGGTATTCCTCAGGAAGGATTAGCATGAAAGAAGACTGGAAATAACCAGAGCTAGTCTCAGTGACCTTGTAAGACCAGATGAACTTGGTCCTGAGTGGTAGCAGGTAGCCTTATATTCAACTTCAGATTTATATTTGAGACAGGTCACTCTGGTCCCAGCATGACAGATGTCTTAGGGTAAGGACTAGGAGACAAAAGGCCCTGGGATGGTGCTGAGGTGAGAATAGGGCAGTGATGGTGAATGCTGGGGGCGGGGGGAGCCCAACCATCTGTTCGGGTGATGGAACTGATGAGCACTTGTGACTGGCCATGGGCAAGGAGAGGCTCTTGCAAGATGTGGGACAAGAAGCTATCTGGGGAGACGGTCCTGGGCTTGATTTGGGGTAGGGCGATGGTGTCTAGGAGGTTAGGCACAGAAGAAAGGCCTGGCTGCAGGGAAGATGTGAGTGGGAGTAGTGGTGAGAAAAATAGGGGGCGTGAGAGGTGAGGGGCCAGGCCTGGCCAGGAAGGATGTGGATGTGGGCTGACTGTCCAGGGAGGTGCCCCCACTCCCTGTCAGAGACAGCAGACAGAGGGCACTCTGTCCCCTCCTTACCCGTGGCCCATTGCCATCATGGGATTTGCAAAGATGGTAGGTTGCCATGTTGTTGTTGGATGTTCTTTTCTCACAGTGACTGATGTAGAAAAATTGGGGAGTCGGAGATTGGGTGAAAGCCAAAGGGCCCCGAGGCTAACAAGATAGTAAGAAGGGGAAGTCTAGAGAAGCGGAAACTCACTAGTGACCAGTTTATCTCTATGGAGAGTTTGGGTATCTGCACCCACAACTGGAAACCTGAGCTGAGGAGGACATAAGGTGCAGTGGCATGGTAGTCCCACGAGGATGCCGACTGAGTGGCCAACAGGGTCAGCTACTGCTGAGTTACTTTCTCTTTGCTCTCCCAAATGCCTGACAAAGTCAGCTTCAAGGAGGAAGGGTGATGTGACTCACCCATCACGACGCAGTGTAGTGGGAAGAGCAGCTCTAGCCGGGCCAGGAGGAGCGTGAGGCAGCTGGTCACATTGCATCTGAGGCAGAAAGCAGAAGATTGGATGCTGGCGCTCGGTGCCCTTCCTCTTGACTCAGCCAGTGCCCCGCCCCTTGCATAATCTTATTCACTTTCAGGCTGAACCACGCTTGGCTCTTTAGTTGAACCTGTCTGGAAACATACGCACAGACCTACTCAGAGGTGTCTCCCAGGTGATTCTTATCGAGACTAATTATCACATCCCAAATAACTGGAGGCGCTAAATTTGTCCCAGAGGGCAGAGCAGTCCTTTGAGATCTGCTTGTTTGGGAAGGAGGGGCTAAATGAGGGAAGGGACCAGCAAAGAACGTGCACCGTGTGCTGGATTTTTCTATTTCAAAAATAATTATACTTCTCAAACTTTTTTTGTAGATTGTTGGTACATCCATTCACTTACCTGTTTATTTATTGTGTGTGCATGCATATATGTGCATGCATATGTGTGCATGTGCCATGACTCTATTGTGGAGCTTAGAGGACCACTTAGGAGTGCTGGTTTTCTTCTAAGATGTTGGTCCTGAGGTTGAAACTTGGGCCATCGGGCTTAGCAGCAAGCACCTTTCCCCACCGAGACAACTTGCTAGCCTTCCCCACACTACTTTTCAAATAGGAAACTGAAGAGCTGACAGGTTATATAACATGTGGTAAGCCCCTCGTGATGGGACAGTAGTTGAACCCAAGTCCAGCTCTAGAGCCTTAGCCCCAGTGCACAGGAACAGAGAAAGATTCCCAGGGCTTGCCTTGGGAGGTGGGGCAGGTGTGCTGAAGTCAAAAAGTAGCCAGATGCGTGATGGTCAGCGGCTCTATTTCTAGCTGAGCTACATATGGCTTCATGAACTTGGGAAGCCACCCAAGTACATGAGATTCCAGCTCCCTCCTCATGAGATGGAAACAGAGGAAGGTGCTCTGCGTGCATTTGCTCAGAGTAGAACACCTGTGAGACGCTTCCCCCAAGAAACCACATTTTATAGTCCTGTGACTCAGCTTCTGAGTGCACAGAACACTGTGACTGGATCCCTGCAGATGGCCATATAAAATATGTATAGCATACAGAACATTGTTGACATTTAAAGTTGTTTTTACTGGTAGAACCAAAAGCAGCTTCAAATGCTAACAAATTCAAACCACAGTAACCACAAATTTAATAGGACAAATTTCAAACGTGGCCTTCAATCCTACTTAACCCTAACACCCAAAGATCTGTTATTTGGGGGTAGCTTCTAGCCACATAGGGTTTGCAGAGCCAATAAGATAGAGGAGGACTCTGTAGTCTCTGGTTTCATGCTGTCCACCTCCTTGTGTACCCCCAGTTCACACCCCTCCTTCTCATCCACCACCACCCTCTCAGCGGGAGCTCGCTGACAGCTAGCTACAGTGATCAGCTAGGACTTCCATAACAAGATGGTGGACAGAGGGGCTGAAACACAGGCCAGAAAGCCAAGATCAAGGTCTTTCTTCTTTGGTTTACAGATGGCTGTCTTTTCCCTCCTCATAGGGTTCCTTCTATGTGTGTAGGTCTGCTCAGTTGGGTCTCTCTCTCTCTTCTCCTCTCTCTCTCTTCTCCTCTCTCTCCCTTCTTCCTTTCCTGGCCCCTCCCTTCCTACTCTCTCTTCCTCTCCCGCCCCCTTTCCTTTTCCTCCTTTCTTTCTCCTCCCTTTGTGTGAGGTCACCAGTCAGGTTGGATTAAGGCCTACCCTACTGATCTATATTAATGTAGTCACCTCTTCAAATGCCCTGTGTCTGAGGCGGCCTCATTTTGAAGTACTAGGGGTTATTTTTTCAGCACATGGATGGAAGAGGACACCATACAGCCCTAACAACAGTCCTCCAGCTCCTTCCGACAAGTGGCTTGCTCTCTCCTGAGATCAGTTCTGCTCCTTCCCTTGGCCTCTCTCCTCCAGTCCTCCTGGAGAGCCTCAGCTAGTCATCACTTCCCACGTTAGCCTTCCCTGTGTGGTTGCCTGTAGCATCTTCAGGCCCTCCTGCCTTCTTTTGAGTCCTGGAAGTCAGCCTCCACCACAGCAGGAATATTTCTTGACTGTTTTTTCTTAGTCCGTTCAGCACCAGAATTGCTCCTGACTAGAATTTCCGTGGGCACCTACCCTCTCTGTTTTCCTTGGATATGTCCTCTGGACTGTCGTATGACCCACTAGCCTCCAGCATCATCCTTGACTTTGCTCTGGTTACATCTGGATCACCTTCCCAACATCTCTCCTCCACCGTTGCTCACAGTGACATTCTTTCTCGTCCTTCCACTGTCCTCTCTGTGAATACCCCGGGATAAGCCCTGGCCCTTCTCATCTTTCATTGTGTTCTCTCCTCTGTACTCACAGCTTAACTCTGAAATTCTCACCTTCCAGTCTCCGCCAGTGTTTCTCCGGGACTCCGACCCTGGCTTTTAGAAGCTTACCTACAGGTCAATATTTTCATCCATCCAGTCCCCTTGACCAAGCCAAATTACTCATCAATCACTCTCCCAACCCATTTACCTCTGATACAGTTGTCCCCGTGGTTCTCAGCAAGAAATCTCAAAGTACCTTTGCACCTCCACTTTGTAAGTCTCCTAGATCCTCATAGTGTTTCTCTGTCTCCCAGTCATCCTTCCTGTGTGGTCCTTCCAAGTGCCTTTCAAGAGGTGGCAGTATCCTAACTGGATATCCTTGTCCTTCGAGGGTTGTGAAGACCTGAGGGCGCTCAGACCCAGCATGACAGCTGTGTGTGAGAAGGTTCCCTGAGCACTCAGGCTAAAGACCCAGATCTCTGGCACACACACCTAATGCTGTCCCTCAGAACTCTCCATAACAATGGACATGCTCTGTGCCCGCACTATGTGGTAACCACTAATCATCTGTGGGTTAATAAGTTCTTCAAATAAAACTAGTTCAATGGAAGCACTGAATACTTCATTTTCCTTCATTTAAATTGGCATACTAGCTTCATTTCAACATCCTGTGATAACAGCCATCTCCTCTAGCCACCTCCTCCCAAACCACCCTGCTTGAGACTACATCATCTGTTGCTACCATGGGCTCCTCTGATTCTCTAGGTTCATCTTCTTAGGCCTTGGGTCCACCCTTCCCCAGTGATGAGCTTGTGGCAATGTTCTCAATACAACATTTTCTCTTTTGCTTCATTTAAACGACTGTTTGTTTATTTTTAGAAAAACATTTAAAACTTACTTTTATTTTATGTATATGAGTGTTTGTCTACATGTATGTTCATGTATCACATGTATGCCTTGTACATTTGAAGCTGGAAGAAGGCATCAGATTCCCTGAAACTGGAGTTAAAGATTGTTCTGAACCGCTATGTCGGTGCTAGATACTGAGCTGTGGGTAGATACTGAGCTGTAGGGAGATGCTGAGCTGTAGGGAGATGCTGAGCTGTAG